CATCAAGATAAAATAGCTCACAAATTCATAGAATTATATCTAGGGCTGGGATTCGGGTAGCCGGTTAACGGTTTAACCGATAACCGTACCGGTAACCACAGTTATCGGTTAAACCGTTAACCGTGAAGAACGGTATGCGGCAGTGGGGCTGGGGGGAATCGGTGTACCGAGACCGGGGAGAGGACTTACCATCGGCTGTCCGGTATTCCGATACCGAAATAGGAAAAGATTGCCGCTCGCCCGCTCCAGAAATCCTAATCGCCAAGTCCAACTTTGCCAACCCTACAGCCTTTGGCCTTCCTTTTCTAATTAGTATTAGTATTAGTAAATAAATTTCCTTCTCCCCTCTGCCTTCCTCGAGACTCACAAGCTTGCCCGCCGTCGAAACTGCAAATCCAAGTTTGCCCGCCGATCAAACCCAAGCTTCCAATCTTCCTTCTCTCCGTCGCTGCCGCACGTTCGAGTCGCGAAGCACAACCCAGCAGCCCAAAGCGCTCCGCTCCCATCGCCGTCGGACCCATTCTCCGTCGACCCAACCCTGCTGCTCGTGTAATCCCCATCGCAGTTGGAGCTTTCCCGCTCGACAAAGCAGCCCAGGGCCTCGTCGGAGTTGAGGTAAGAAGTTTAATTGCATGAAGTTTAATTGCACATATAATCGCCGTCGGACCCATTCTCCGTCGACCGAACACTTATACTTATATGTATACTGAATAAATTGTCTTCTTGTTCAGGTTAGTAGGACTGTAGGAGCACCGCTAGAGCCTAGAGCAGATAAAGTAGAAGGGGAGCAGAGGACCTCGATTTTGTCTTCTTCCTCTTGTAATTTTTAGTTTTGTTTTATTGTTTGCTAGTGCCTAGTGGTGCCCACCGCCCCATCCCATTGCATAGCCAAGTTCCAACTACCGCCAGCAAACGTGGTCAAAGAAGCTAGGCTCTTTGAGAAAGAAAAAACAAAAACAAAATGTAAGTGAATAAGAATAAGTGATGTACTATTTTTATTATTTTGATGTTGATTGTTGACATTGTTGAGTGTGGTTGTTAATAAGTAAATATAATAACATAATATCATTTGTTAATTGATATCAACTATATGTCAAATTGTCAATAATTAATGTTTAATGATTTTTGTTTTTTTTCATGGTTTTAATCATTTTTGTTGTAGGACAAAATCAACTGGTGGTCATGGTCGTAAAGGAGATGACCCGAAAGTTACTTCGCTTCTTCCTCGAAGTACTTCCAAAAAGGGCGGTACTCGTCGTGGTCCAGTTGCACAAGGGAATGCCTCATCTAGTACGCCTACCACGGGTGGTACTCAATCTGCACCTGCACCTGCAAGTGCAGCTGCAACTCTTTCAGCTGCAACTCCTTCAGCTGCAATTGCAACAAATCCAACTGCTACGCCTACACAAATTACTGATATGGGAAGAGGAGCAGATGGAGAGGGTGAGCCAAAGAAAAATGTCAAGAGAGGGAAAAGAAAGAAGACATCCAAGTGGTGGATTCCTTATGATGAGATTTTGGTGGATGGCTACCCATATGGCAAATGCTTAAAGTGTGGAACTTTGATAAAAGCTCACTCGATCTATAATGGGACTACTGGTTTAAAGAACCATCACTTGGCATGCGAGAGGAAGAGGAAGGAAGCCGGTGGTCAATCACTATTGAACTATCAACCTGGGGATGGTGATGGAGGCTCTCTTACTCCATGGAAGTTTGATCAACAAAAATCTAGAACTGCATTAGCTATGATGATCATCTTGGATGAGCTGCCATTTCGCTTTGTTGAGCATGAAGGGTTTAAGAGATTTATGGCGGTAACCCAACCATTGTTTGTGATACCAGGAAGGCAGACAATAAGAGAAGATTGTTATATCATCTTTTTGGAGAAAAAAGAGTTGCTGACCGAGTTCTTCAATTCCAAGTGCAAAGGAAGAATTTCTATCACCACAGATACATGGACTTCTGATAACAACCAGAATTTCATGTGTGTGACTGCTCATTTCATTGGGAGTGACTGGAAGCTGCAGAAGAGGATCATTAGTTTTGTTCCCATCACCAGTCACACAGGGAAGGATATTGCAGAAAAATTGGCAGCATGTCTAAAAGAATGGAAAGCACAACACTTGTTCTCCATTACAATGGATAATGCTACTTCTAATGATGTTCTTGCAGAGTGTATGAGAACAAAGATGAAAGAGTGGGGAACAGACTTGCTTGGTGGGAAGTATTTGCACTTTCGATGTGTGGCACATATAATCAATTTGGTTGTGTCGGATGGGTTGAAGGAGGTTGGAGTTGCTGTAGAAAGGGTTCGAGATTGTGTGAAATGGGTGAAGTCATCACCAGGCAGAAGTGAAAAGTTCAAATCTACCATTGCATATATACAAATGGATGAAAGAAGACTTGTATCTTTGGATGTTCCAACTAGGTGGAACTCAACTTATTTGATGTTGGAATCTGCAGAAAGGTTTGAGCATGTTTTCAATTTCATGCATTCGAGCCCCAGTGATTCTGCATTCCGGGATTATGTGGACTCAAAGAGAGGTCTTCCAACTAAGGAAGACTGGATCAGTATTCGGCGGCTAATGAAGTATTTGAAGTTCTTTTATGAGCTCACCTTTCGGGTATCAGGTATGTGAACAGAACTCCATCTATTCAAATTCATGGTTTTTAGTTTTTACTTTTATTTCCTTGTAATTTGTGAATAATTTGTTGTTATTTTTGGATTTATCAGGAACATCTTATGTGACTACTCATACTTTCTTCAAGGCTATTGCTGACATCTATGAAGTGATAGAACTTTTTAAGAGAGACATGGATGTAGAGATACAGAGGATGGCAGAAAGAATGGAGGCAAAGGTACGAAAGTATTGGTTTGAGAATGATGATGATGATGAGGTGGAGAACCTAAGGATAAATAGGCTGGTTTACATGGCTTGTGTGCTAGATCCTAGGCGTAAAATGGCTTATTTGTCTTGGATGTTGGGTAAGATGTATGGGAAGAAGAAAGGAGACGATTTGGTGAAAGATGTGAGTGCAGAGATGACTGCAATGTTTGAGGTTTACAGATTTAAGTATGCACCTCAACCCTCCCAGCCTACTATTCAAACCACTCCTAGTGTTGATGATGGTATTGGATGTGCATCTTATGGAGGGACATTTGATGCTGAATTCAAGAAGATGAGAAAGGAGCAACTTCAGATGGGGATTCGAGGTTTTTCTGAGCTAGACATCTACTTAAGAGATGTTAATGATGCTATTAACGAGGATGATAATGATATGAAGTTTGACATCTTGCTGTGGTGGAGTAAGAACAGTGTTAGATATCCTATTCTTTCCCAGATGGTTAAGGATATCCTAGCTGTTCCAGTCTCCTCTGTGGCCTCAGAGGCGGCTTTCAGTTGTGGAGGTCGAGTGCTCAGCCCGTTTAGGTCTTCGTTGAGCCCCACCATTGTAGAGGCCTTGATTTGTGCTGAAGATTGGATAAGGTATGAAGGAGGGAAGAAAGCAGACAAAGTTGATGATAAAGAAGATGAAAATCAAGACCAAATTGATTATGAAAGTGGTAAGAATTCATTATCTCACTTAATTATTTTTAAGTATTAGTGTATTACCTTACTCAATTTTAAATAATAATATTATTAGATGAATTCTAATAATTGTACTTTTTTCTCACTTAGTCACATCTAACTTCCAAGCTCGATTGGAAACTGCTCATGCTATGCCAAGTCAAAGTGAGAAACAAAATTTACCAGTTGTGGTGGAGGAGGATGAGGATGAGAAAGATTCTGCTGAGGAAGATTCAGACGAGGATGAGGAGGATGATGATGATGCTGTTCTTCTCACCACTTTGAAGCAACAAGGTTGTGCTGATGTTGGTGGTTCAGTGAAGAACTAGTATTATTGTTTTCCTTCATATTTTGGAATGATTTTAGTAGCAGTAGCAGACTAGCAGCAGCAACTCTTTGTTAATTTCTTGGAATTATTTTAGACAGCACTCAGCAGTACCTAGTACCTACGTACTACAAGGGTAGCAACAACTTTTTCTGAATTTTTTGGAATTATTTTAGAGAGTAGTACGTACGTATGTCTAGCTAGCAGCAGCAACTTTTTTTCCATTTGTGTTTCGTTTGGTGTTTGGAATTATAGCTAGCTAGTTAGCTACGTCTACTAAACTTTTACTTTATTTGGTTTCTACTTTCTAGTTTGGTGTTGGTGCATTGGTGGTATGGTCCCACTCTTATTACTTTATTTTTTTGGCATTTCCCTACCAGAGAGAGATGAACGTTGAAACTTGGAAGAAATGAAGAACCATGTGATTATTTTGTTTGGATTCTAGCAAGTAGTTTGGTGGTCCTTGGGCATTTTCTTGTCAGAGAGACAGATGGATGTTGGACCCAAAAAACAAAAGTAAAGGAGACTGTCCATCCATCCAAAAAGCAAGGGAGCCAAGGAAAGTCTTGTCTTCCTCACTGTAGCAGACGAGTCCCTTTTTGGTAAACGGGAAACCGAGGAAAATACCGACATCGTCATTATCGGTAACCGGTTTACCGATATATAATCGGTATCGGTATACGGCAGTGTAAATGAGAGATCCGGTATACCGGTAACCGGTTAAACGGTAACCGGTTTAACCGGATACCGACCGATTACCAGCCCTAATTATATCTCTCAAAGTTATTGATAAATTCAAGAGAGAAGATCAACTTGTATTAATTGTCTACTTTGCCTAATTATATCTAGGAAATACCTAGTTGTCAATGACGCGTTTTGTCTAGGATAACATATATAGGTTTTCAATCGTACGATTGAAATTTATAAAAGAAACTCGGTATTTTACATAAAATTATATACATGAGAATAACATAGGTAACATATAATCTTGTTGACGAACCCAGAAAAAATTAAGGAACAATAAATAAATGAGATAACACAAGGAGAAACGACGACATATAAGGATCAAATTTGGCCATCACTTTTACTTGGCCATTTTTGATCGCTCATTCGCTAGTCCCATGCATGGATATATCATCATAGAAAAAGCGATTGAAAGCGTGGATATGGTCAGACCTCAAGCAAATGGAAACCACAACGTCGCCGGCAGCTTGACTTTCCGACAAAGTCACGACGCCGTCGAACTCAAAGGTGGTGTCCATATGAACCTCCTTCCCGAACCCGAAGTCCAAGCCCAGCATCGGCAGCCTCAGCCAGCTCGTCACCACCAGATTAGGAATCCCAAAGTAAGGCTCCCGATCATCATCATAATCATTGAAGTCAAGGAACTTGGTCATGTCAGGTTGGTTCTTCAAGTACTCAATGGCCGACCACAGAAACTTACTGTCCACCTTCGCCACCGCTTCCCTCACCTTCCCTGCCGCGTACCCTAGTCCCTTCCTCACGAGGTCGCCGGAAAGGCTCGTCGCCTTCACGTCGAAAATGGCATCGCCGAAGTAAGCATCCGGCAGCGGCGGGTTGATGCGTCGGCGGGCGTCCACGCAGATGTCGACGGTGGTCGGCTGGTCGGGATTGAGTTTCCTGGCTTTGCAGGCGCACCTCCACGTGTGGGCTGTTAGGGTTTCGTAAGTGGTGTACGGACGGGTGGTTCTTATGTTTTTGTTTGCCATGTCCTTCAGAATCTGGACTTGGGGTTTCGTCAGCCTCAGTCTCGTCGCGGCGGTCTCTCTACCTGCCGATGATCAGGAACCAATCCATGCATTTAAACTCATGATTATATTATTCTCATTATTATATTCTTTGTCCAAAATAAATACATTATATAACATTTATAATTAATCTTTTTCTAACAACTCGAGTTATTGAAACCAACTGTTATATAACATAGTATCAAAGTTGTTTTGATAAAGTAATCGTTGTGTGTTTGAATCCAGGGGCGGAGCCAGAATTTCGACACCAGTTGGATAAAAAATATTAAATAAAATAAAAATAAAAAATTAAATATTTTTAAAAATATACAACGTTCTTTGAAATTATTAAAAAAATCACTCAAAATAGCATCCAAACTAATTATTTTAAAAATATACAACGTTCTTTCAAATTATTGAAATATCACTCAAAATAGCATCCAAACTAAATATACTCTAAAATTTATTAAAACCACTCAAAATAAAGCAAAATGTAAGGTAGTGGTGAATTGAACTTGGGTGCTTCACACTAAAAACTAGATTAGCTATCAGTAGACTACATGATAATTATATGAGTTAATGTTCTGGCCGAATCTTACTTATTCAAATTTTATCTAAATATTCTTAAAGTCCTAGGGGCCCGGACTATTTCGGGGGTCGGGGCCTACCCTAACTTCTAAGTAGCTCCACCGTTGTTTGATTCTCCAAATCCTCACTACATATCAGTTGATTCAATTACATAGTATATGCAAACTTCAAATTCATGAGTTTGTTTTTCATTTGAGAAGTGTGTAAGTGAGTAGTATAAAATCCATAATTAACATTCGAGTTGTTGGGAGTAACCGACTTGTGACAAAAAGCAACCCAATATAACAATTGATTCAACAAGTTGATTATTAGTTTATTACAATTGGTACGTAAGCGTACCATTGTTACCGGAGCACTCCGCGTCAGGAAGCAGAACCGGCGGGCGGTGGAACTGGGCAGGATCGAAGGCCGGCTGCCCAGCAAGCGGCGGCAATCCTGCCCGCAGAACCCTTCGATCCAAAACCGGCAGCGTACCAATCCCTTGCCCGCGGGCCACGCGGGCCCACTCGTGGAAAAAGTGCATGGCAGCCAGCCCATCGGCCGCCACGTGGGAATTGTTGAAACCGAGGCAGATCCCGCCGCAACTGAACCTGGTGAGCTGGACCAGCAGCAACGGCCACTCGTTGATCCCAAGTCTGCCGTAATCCACCGCCGGGACCAGCGGCAGAAATTCCGTACCGCTGCACCGGCTAGTACCAGACACGTCACTGCCAAACAACCCCAACAATTCATCCAGCGATGTCGTTTCGGCATGCGCCTCGTTGAACTGGACCCCAGCGCCGTTACAGTCCAGCTCCAACCTTCCACCGCCGATGGGGTGTAGCCGCCCGGCCAGCGGGTAGAATGCGACCAACGTCCTGCTCAAGGAGTCCTTCAGCAGATTCACCAGAGCGACGTCGTTTTGTGGCACGCTGGTGGTGGGTTTGTTGTAGAAGTATAGAGTGTCTATGTGGGTTATGGTTCCGGTCATATCGAACTCCGACAGAGGCATCCGGCCGGTCCAAGTTGCCTCCGCCGGCTTCACGAGTGATGACTCTTTTATGGTCACAGCAACCATCTTCGACATAATTTTAGGGGAAAAAGCTAAGGGTGAGAAGAGATGATAGGCTATGAATAGGAAAATGAGATTTGGATAAGCTTCATTTATATATTTTGATTCAAGTGTTTAATTATCGGACTACGTCTTCCTTTTAATTACGCCTATCGTGTGTGTCAAGGAAAATGCATGGACAAGTGTTGAAGAAATATGTAATTGAGGTAAGGGAAGGAAGATATATATAATTGGATCACGCAAACTTTGAATCAACAGGGACTCGTGGAGCATGCTGTCTTTGTTAGGTTCTGCAATCCAACAGAAATTCTCAGCTACAACCCATCTGTACGTCTTACACTCTTACTTGTACTTCTTGGTTGGAGTTTCATAGGAAGTACTTTGTGTTTATTGTTAAAAAAAAATACGAGTTTAGTGTTTGGTCAACCATAAAGCTTGATTAGGATTTGCCCCCTTCAATTGGATTCTTTTACATGAAATTTTCATTGCGACGATGTACCGATGATCACATCCAAGTATTGTTAATCGAAAAATCAACTAGTGAAACCATTCGGTATCGAGGTTTGGCTTATGAGACCATATTCGGTCGGTATCCTCTAGCAATTGACCTCCGCATGATATTTTTCTTATTAAAAGTTAACGGGTTACATCTCGCTGATCCCACTCATTTTGAATTGGATTTTGTTTTGCACAGAAAAATCAAACTAATTATACTCTAAAAACGACATTCATTTTGAAATGGCAATTGGGTTGCAATGGAATTATTTGATCATAGAGCCGCAGGACATTTCTTGACCTGGACTAACAAACATGCGAGAGGAAGCCTATAGCGAAGAAATTGGATAGAGATGTAGTGAATGAACAATGGTTTGATGCCTTCCTTGAGTGTTTGATTGAAGCTAGGCCTGTAAGTTTTTCTGACCATCGTGCCACGATTATCCTAGTTTTTTGATCGTGGGATCCTTGTTGCCACGAAACCAGCTCATAAAACCTTTACTAAGCAATTAAAATACTTTGATTTTTTGTAAGATTATCCTAGTTTTTTGCCTCTTATACAAGCAGCCTGGGAAATCCATGTTTAGGGTCGCCCTATCAACATGGAGAAGGCAAAAATGAATGAAGCAAAGAAGACTTTGAAGAGGTTAAACAAGGAAGAATTTGATAATATCAGTCATACAGTGAAGGAAGCTGAGTTGTGATTGTTGTCTACAAGTGCACGCGCGTACTGACTTTTGATTCACCTTCCGCTGAGCATTTTGATGAGGTCGCTGAGCTCCAATATCGTATGGAGGAGCTTCAGAGAGCAGAAGCGGGTATGAATTATTGCAGAATGAAAGAAGACGACGTCGTAGTCCCCCCAGAAGCAAGTGAGGAGCTGGCTAGAGACGACATCGTTTACATTAGCATCAGTTCACTTTTCCGTTTTTACTGTACAGCTACGCGTCCCTCTTAGATTTGTTGGTAGTTTTGTTTTCTGTTTGTTACCGTTGTATAGCTGTATATGGTAACTTTCTTCCCTTCGTTAAGAAGGAGTTGTAGATGCTGAGTATATATTGAAAGGCCTTGAGCTGCAGAGGTTCCTGCGGGTTCCCTTACAATATTCTGGGTCTGAATTTCACATGGTATCAGAGTCTGGTTACCAAAACTAGGGTTTCAGACTCAGCAATCCCGCATTCTTCTTCTTGAGAATTTTTCCACTTGATTCTCGTTTATCTCATCAATGTCGACAGAGGAAGCTTCAGCTATGTCGTCGTCGACGGCGACTGTTATTCGATTCCTATCAGCACAGTCACAAACCCTTTCTACATCAACCCAAATGAGGCCTTGAGTTTTCCTATCAAACTTACCGGCACAACCAACTACAATTTATGGAGTAGAATTGTTCGAGTTGCTCTGAAAAGCAAGAACAAGCTTGGGTTCATCACAGGGTCGATTCCCGTTCCAGATCTGACGCATGAAAGCTACCAAGCTTGGGAGCAGAGTAACATAGAGGTCCACTTCATGATTCTTGGATCTCTGGACCCTAGCCTGGTCAAGAGTGTATCTTCACAAGACAATGCCAAGCTCCTTTGGGATGATTTGAGACAGAGGTATGGACATGCAGATAATATTCGCATCAGTGATCTACAGACTGTTGTCTACACTCTGAAGCAAGGTAACAAATCAGTGAACCAGTTCTATTCTGAATTGAAGAGGCATTGGGAAGAATTAGTTCAATTTTTACCAATTCCAGAATGTGTGTGTGGTGGAGAACCTAGAAATAGGGCTATCCCTTGTATTACTGAGACCACTGTTACGAAATATCGGGAGAATGAGTTTGTGACTAGGTTCATTACTGGATTGAATCAATCATATGGGGGAGTCAAGACCAATCTCCTTATGATGATTCCACTGTCGGCTATGGAAACTGCTTTCCATTATGCCATTCAACATGAGAGGCAACTTGGGAAGCCAAGTCAGGTTTCTCAAGTGGAATCTGTTTCTTTGTTGGCTGCAAATCAATCAAGAGGAAAAGAGAATGTTAAGGGCAGTCAGGGTACCTTATTTTGTAGATACTGCAAAAAGGATAACCATGTTATAGCAGACTGTTTCAAGATGAAGAGAAAGAACAAGGAGTCTGGATCTACTTCTGGTTTTGCAGGACAGATCCAAAGCATTGATAATGCTGGGAGTGATACAGGAGGACATCAGTCAAAACCAGAAACTAGATCATTGTCTGAGACAAGGGATGGGGGTTTTACTAATGTGAGACTTTCGAATGAGGATTTGAGTAGACTACAGAGAATTCTGAATCAATTTGGGTCACCAAGTCCACCCTCATCTCCTAGCTCGCCTAGTCCAAACTTGGCAGCTTCTCACCAGCATCAGTCACAAATGGTCAATTCTGTTAGCAGACATCTATCAGTGAATCCCAATTTTGCAGGTAAATATACTCTTACCTCATATTTCCAGCAGCATCCTTTGTAACTAGTTAATGTGTGGTTCTTAGATACAGGGGCTACAGATCATGTAACTTGTTCTAAGTCTAGTTTCATTAGGTGTTATTCCATTCAGAATGTGTTTATAACTTTACCTAATGGGACCAAAACACCTGCCACTCATTCTGGAACAGTTAGGCTAACTCCCAATCTTGTCATTCATAAAGTCCTATTTTTACAAACTTTTTCATTCAACCTAATCTCAGTGAGTAAACTGACTCATTCCCTACCAGTTACACTCACTTTCAAATCCACCACTTGTTCTATCCAGGACCTTCTGACATTGAAGACGATTGGTTTTGCCCAAGAGAGTAGGGGAAATTTCAACTCACACCCACTACCACAGAAGACCAATCTGTTCATATCAATTCCCTCAAGACTCAAAATTTCACACCTCAATCATTTGATCTTTGGTACTGGCGGCTTGGACACCCTTCTGAAGTCAGAGCTAAAGAGTTAAAGAAAATTGTTCCTAGTATAGATGTCACTTCTGTTCATCACTATGATGTTTGTCCTCTTTCTAAACAGAAACGTCTTTCTTTTTCTTCAAGCCAATCTATGGCAAAGGATGTTTTAGAGCTTATACATACTGATATTTGGGGGCCTTTGGCTATTTCTAGCTACAATGGATTTTCCTATTTCCTTACCATTGTAGATGACAAATCTAGATGTGTATGGACATATCTTATGAAATACAAAAGTGAAGCCAGAAAATTGTTGCAAGATTTCTGTGTGATGGTTCAAACTTAGTTTGAGAAAACCATTAGAGTTATTAGATCTGACCAAGGGGCAGAGTTTCATATGCCTGAATTCTATTCAAAATTTGGAATTGTGCACCAGATGTCTTGTGTTGAAACTCCACATCAAAATGCAAGAGTGGAGAGAAAACACCAACACATTTTGAATGTAGCTAGATCCCTCAAGTTCCAATCTGGCCTTCCTCTAAAATTGTGGTCTGATTTTATCCTACATGCTGTCTACTTGATAAACAGATTACCTACTGTGGCTATTGGCAACAAAACACCTTATGAAGTCTTATATGGACATCCTCCTGATCTATCCAATTTAAAGGTGTTTGGTTGTTTATGTAATGCCAAGACTTCAAGCCATAACAGAACAAAATTTCTTCCTAGAGCTAAACCTTGTGTTTTCCTGGGATTCCCTCCAGTAGTTAAAGGGTATAAATTGTTTGATCTACAAGATCAGAAAGTTTTTCTCTATATGGATGTGATCTTCCATGAGAACGTCATACCTTGTTTACCCCTTCCTACCAGTGAATCACCACCATCATCATTCATACCTCAAGTCCCACTTCATTCTTCTGACTTACCACCAGATCCTTTTCCTTCACATTCTCACTCTATGGATCTAGAGACAGCACAGGCACAAGTTGTTTCCACTCCTCCACCTGTTGTTCCCTCTTCTCCAGTTCAAAACATGAATACTTCTTCCCCCTCTACTTCTTCCTCCACCACCATACATACCCCATCTAATCCTATAGATTCACCTATTTCTGTTCCACCATCTCCACAAAATACTTCTTTGCCTATTACTGTTAGAAAACCGACCAGACAAATTGTTAAACCTCTCAAGTATAATGATTATGTTCTGAAACTAGAAACCACACATGTCAAAGCTATATATCCATTGGTTGCTTGCTTGTCATATGATCAACTGTCTCCAAGATATAAGAAATATGTGTTGGCTCTGGAATCTACAAAAATTCCTGCAAGCTTTGAAGAAGCAGTTAAGGTTAAGGCATGCAAGAAGGCTATGGATGTGGAAATAGAAGCACAAGAAGCCAACAGAACCTGGGACATTGTCCCCAGACCACTTAACAAGAGAGTCATAGGGAATAGATGGGTGTATGGCATTAAATTTTTGTCTGATGGAGAAATTGAAAGACACAAAGCCAGACTGGTGGCTAAAGGGTTTACACAAATCTATGAAATTGATTTCCTAGATACTTACTCACCAGTTGCCAAGTTAAACTCAGTAAAGACCCTTTTGGCTGTTACAACAGCTAAAAATTGGCAGATGATACAGTTAGATGTTAGCAATGCTTTTCTGAATGGGGACCTTGAGGAAGATGTATACATGGAACTG